TCATGGGTGTTGAAGAACCCATAGAACCTCTGTGTGAGAGGGAAGCGCCACGTCGATTTCGCATTCGTCGCATGATGAAGAAGGCGAGGATCCCGGTTGCCAATAGGGCGAGTGCTCCGAGAACAACGATAACGGCGATTGCCCAGCGAGGAAACGATGAACCGCTGCCGTCATTTTGAACATTGCCATTGCCAGGGCCCGATGTAGAACTCGGACTTGAATGTGCAGAAGTCAGTGAAGCAGCCGAGAGAGATGACAGGGACGCTGCTATCGCGGACGACACTGAAGCAGCTGATGCGGAAGCAACAGATGCTGTTGACGCCATTGATGCAACAACCGAGTCGGCAAAGGTTGTTTCTGCAACCCACCGTCAGTCTCACGGAACGTGACACTCATCAAGACGAATGATGCACTCACGAACGGCAGCAAAGACAGGCTGTGGTATACCAGAATCTAAGGTTGCATCACTTCGTGTTATTACCCAGTAAAAGAGGTATGGCGTTGGTTGGCCGTTCCAGTGGGCGCCACGGGGACCAAACCATGTATCGTTGACAGGAAAACGAACAATACCGGCGCGACCATACGGGTTGGGTTCGTTCTCCCATTTGTGGATGACGTTGGTGGATACGGCATCGAGGAGATATATGTTGACCAGGTTTGTTTGTGTGATCTGAGGTAGCCTGCTGTTCCCTACGGTACAAGACAAGATTAGAAGGTGCTCCACCAGGGGAGGGGAGTGGGTGACGTACAAACGAAACTTGCAATTTGATGTTGAGGTATCGACGTGTTGCTGAGGGGGAAACATGAAATGACCGCATTGCTGGAGAAGACCTGACATCGGTTTGCAGCCTCATCTAAGGAGGAAAGATGGAATCAGTTCCTGTCGGGGCATGGGGACACACGGGCAAGGGAGGCCGGAGGAAGGGCAGAAAAATGAAAAGGGCTGGTACGCACTGACTTCGGCCTCGTCAGCTATCTCATCCCGTAGAGTGAATGGACGATGTGAGCGAGGACCAAGAGAATCTGACACGGAGTTGGGGGTGGAGGGCGACTTGCGCTTCCTTAGCGAAGATGAGGAAGCAGCTGGTGCATGAGTGGGCGGTGGCGGCAGATAAGGCTGGCGACGAGAAGGAGATGGCATGGCGTGAGGTAGAGATGAAAAAGGGAGAGAGGAGAGTAGAAATATCCAGGGGGAGAAAGGGGATATGGATGTTGGTAAGGAGGGCTAGCGGAGGATCGGGGGCAGAAGTGAGAAGCCAAGGGACATTATCCAGTGAGGAGGATGCTGAACGGGCGCAACTGTGTCGGCGTCGTTGAGGGCAATGAGCGGGTGGTGTCTGACGACGAGGAGGAGGGCGGGATCAGTTGGGAGGGATGAACATCAGGGAGAAGAGAAAGAGAGAAACGGAACCACAGCGTCCATGTTCGGCGCCTAACACGTGTAAACATCCCTCCCTCACGTAATCACTCTGGAACAACTTCCTCCTTTCTTTCTCCCAATATTTTATTCTCCTATCCGCAGCATCGCTGGCCAGTGAGCGAGGCCGTAGCTATTTGGACACTGAACAGCGAAGAGGAGGGGGGTGGACGGAGACATTGCCGATTGAGGGAGTGTGCCTTGGACTGGCCCTGGGAGGCACGAGGATCTCAGCTCTCCGCCACAAAGGGAGCCCAGCGCCGTCTGTCTCTCAGTTGCCATCTGTCTCCCACAACCCAGAGCTCTCATGTGTCTCGAATAACTAAATATCTCCATCATCCCATCATGACGATGTATATCCCCACGCGTGTCCCCTTGGAGCGTCCATAATGAATCCTGGTCGCGTGAACATCCCCCGAGGTGAGAGGGAAACGGAGCTCTAGACTGGTGCCAAAGCACTAGCGGTCGCCTTCTAGTCCGTACAGTACGACCTCTCTATTTCCCTCCCGTTCTCAATCGAAACAAAACAGTGAAACGGACTCTTTTCACGGAAAAACATACATCTTGCTAAGAAAGGAAATAATTACGTCGGTGGCTATCTCGTGAAACCGGCGCACTTTTCTTCAGCTGAATACTGTCAATCGTAGTTTTCCCTAGCGCCCTAGAGACTGTGTTCACCCCATTGAAACCATAACACGGTCCCCACGGCAGATCAACGTCAACTCTCGTGCTGTTCAAAGGAGCATCCTCTTGGCGGGGCTCTCAGAGACTCGACGTTCAACACACATGACTGACCGAGGCTACATCAACCTCCTAAGCCATCTGAACAGGGCATCAACCACTCTCCCCGTCGAGACAATCCAAGGCTCTATAGCGCACTACCTTGCCAATGTCCAACCACTCCCGACGTCCTTCACCGCCATCGTCATCAGCAGCCAGCTATTCCGCACCTTAACTCTCCCCAAACTCGAAAGTATCTCTCTCGCTTTTCGGCACAGCGTACACCTAAAACATAAACTCCTGAACGACGAACAGTCCGGGTTGTTCTCGAGAAGCAAGAAGGGAAGGTTGGGAGAATGGGTGTATGCGGTGTTGAAAGGGTTGCAGGGCGGGCAGACGATGTTGAGGCTTGCGGCGTACGATGGGTTGCTGTTAGGATTGGAGGACCATGAGAGCGAGTTGGGGTTGAAGGACTCGAGAATGAGGGGGAAGGTGGAGGAGGAATTGGTCGTTGCGCTCGCAGAGGCTATGGATATGTACCCTCTGAACGCGTCGTCGGTGGGATGGGAAACGGAGTTCATGCCAAATGTGATGTACCAGACCGAAGGTGCGCCATTCATGTCCGTATCATGACCTGCCTTGTGCTGATCATCTCCGACAACGAAGGTTGTACGTTATCGACTGCATACCTAATCGTGGCTCGCTCGTTGCCACTGGTTGCCAGTCACAGATTGAAAGCCCTCCCGCTGGGGGTACGTTGTCCGACATATAGACATGGCGTGTTCTGATCACTCACCTCGGGCAGGCACTGACAAGTGGGCTTCTTGCTATCATTGACTCTGCGTTTCAATCTGGGACATTCCTCTCGACCCTTGAGCAATCCCTTCACTCTTCACCCCAGGATGGCAAGCTCTCCATATCGGTACGTTCTCTACTACTAAACATCCCCTCTGACCTACGCTAATCGATCCCGTTGGCAGCCAACATCCCCCTTCGCTGACAACCTACGAGCATTGTCAAGTTCCCCCATCATCCTGTCAATGGCACCTCTGTCACGTCTTTGTGCGCTCACACTGTCTGCCCTCGCGGATTCGAGACCCCGCCAAGCATGGCTTGTCATGTCGGAGATAATGCAGAGGTTAGAGACACTCACTCGGAACGTGGAAACAGACTGGCTTCGCAGTCGCCTTGCGGATACAATAGAGGAAAATGACATCGGTGCGCCTTACATATCGTCGCGTATTTGAATCGTGGTCAATATTTACACTTATTGCAGCACCAGAAGCTCATGAATCTGCGAAAGCGATGTGGAGCACACTGAAAACAATGCTCTTTACCACGATCATGATCGTCCAGTCTGTTCTCTCTACCCTGGTATACGTCCCTCAACCCCCACAAGAAACGCACGCATCTGCAAGCTCTCCGGACCCCACCGCCTTCTCGTTTGCTCTGACAGCATTGAACATATTTTCTCATCTGGCCTTTGTGCTCCCGCAGTTCGGAGGTGTCACATCCACAGCACAAAATAGCTTTGTGGAGCTAAAGAAAGTGTTTTACACGGCGTTGGATATATTGTCTTCAGACTCGGAAGAATCTGAGAGGTTCGTGAGAATGCTGTGTGAAGATGCTCGGTCAAAAGGTCTCCTCCACCTCTTACTATTCACTGCTATACTTCCAAGACTGATTTGTCTTGTTGTCTAGCCGCCTCACGTCAACTTCCCGTTCGGTTCCTCCATGCAAAGAAATCGTACGCGTTAGCATGCATCGAGCAGTTGATACCCGGCTTGAGCAACGATGTCATTCGCACAGACGTCTACCCGATGTGTCAACCGTATGCCCTTTTCACAAAAGTTTCATGACAATGTCTGACAGTTTCACCTACAGACATCTCTCCGACCCAAGTCATCGGGAGACGTACGAATCGGCACATTCTGTTATGCTTGCGATATTCGCGTCTCACGCGCAAAGGGCGAGCGAAGGAAAGGGGACAGCTCGGTCGCCGCAAGAGCCTGCGTTTGCGGAGCAGATAGTGCCGTACTATGTGCAATGCTTAATTGATGTACGTCGCCCTACCCTTTCACTCAGACAACCCCACCTTTACTCATTCATCCTATATAGAATTCAGACGACGGAGCCTTGAACACATCGCAGCTTTGCATGGCGTACGCCGCACTCGTGCGAAGCGCGGGGTCGTTCAATTCTAGTCAGGAACCTGGTCTCGGAGAGCACAACTCCACCGAACCTGTCTCCCAAGGAGACGCCTTCGCGTGGTTCTGCATCGAAACCCTCTTAGCACACATCCATCCCTCTCCCTCACACAAAGGCAAATCCCGCCAACTCTCCCCAGACCACCTCCACCGGCTTCACCTCGCCCTCATCTCCGCCGTCCCCTCCGTCTCGCTCGCCCTCCTCCCTAGACTCTTGGACGAAGTCCGACGCGTAATCGTCACGAGTGGAGGAGGGGAGAAAGAGAAAAGGGAGGAGTTGGTGAGGGCGTTGTTTGGGGAGTTGGAGAGGAATGTGGGGGATAGGGAGAAGGAGTTTGTCATGGAGTGGTGGTATGAGAATCGGGAGGTGTTGGCTGGAATAAGGAGGGCGGAGACGGTCGCGGAGGTTGATGCTGGTGCCAAAGAGGGGATTGTCTCGAGATTGTAGTGCTTGTTGATGTCGTCTTTCTTTTGGAATATAGGTCTTTTTTGGCACAATCTGTGCGGGAAACTTGCCGAATCAATGCCGATGTTGTTCACAAGCTGGTAAAGTTCGTGAATTGAAAGAAAGAAAATAGGAGATATAATCTGATGGTGATATTATACACGTAGGCTGGATGAACTGTTTATTTCTATCCGCCGGAGGAAAAATGGTACTCGAGTACGGGGAATCGAACCCCGAGCTACCGCGAACAACTGGCAATGCATTGAAAGGCGGTAATGTTAGCCGTTACACCATACTCGATTATTTAGTCGCCCAGCAAAAAACCGCCTCTGCCCTCGACGAGCTACATGAAGCTGATAGCCAATCTCCCACGCAATCAGGCCTCCATACTCATCCAGCTTCGCACCGGACACGTACCGCTTAACGAATTCCTTTTCCGAATCAAGAGGGCCCCCTCACCAGACTGCCCCCACTGTCCTGAAGTCGCAGAGTCCGTCAGACACTTTCTCATCGAGTGTCCATTCTACCGACAAGCAAGATCCCGCTTGACATGTACACTCCGCCGCACTGCCCATTCACTCCCGCACCTCCTCTCAAACAGCCGAACCGTCACACCGCTAATGCGATTCATCAAAGCCTCCCACCGCTTTGACGAACAACTCGGTGCCATCAATGTCGACAAGGGATAGGATCGGCGAGTGAGCGCCACACTCGACCTACGCCTATTCCTGTGCCACTACAGCGCAGGTTCTCTCCCACGGACTTGACTCCACCAACGACCGTCTCTCCACCCCCTCACCTCACTTCACTCTCCTCCTCTCAGCCCGCCCGGAGACCTACAAGTCTCCCCTCAGCATAACACCACCACCAGCGTCACACACCGTCACCGATCACAGCGTCACCACCACAACGACCCACCTTACCACACGCACTCTCCATCAGGAGAGGTATGTCGCACGAAATACCATATCTTCAAAGCGTCGATTCTTTGCCTCAGGGATTAGCAGGGGAGCGTGCTCTAAAACGGTGTCGGATACACCGGCTGGCCTAGCGACTCTGCCCTAGTTGTGGCGGGGGGGTCTAGCATTGCTACGGCTTCTGTAGTATCTACTAGGTTGTACAGGGATGTGTAAACATAGGGCGTACTGGCCCTCTAGCACAAACAATTGGATTCAAAAAAAAAAAAAAAAAAAAAAAAAACCGCCTCGAGCCTGGCGGAGCCGTTTTCCCCTCTTGGGAGACCTTTAAGTTGAACAAGATTCAATTGGACTCGGCCTGTGCTGGTACTACCTCCGCGATACACTCAAACTCAACATCAGCCCCCAATGGAAGACACGCTACACCGACGCAGGTTCGGGCGTGCGGGTATTGCGGAAAGACCTGGAATACATACCATCGCCGAATTGTTAGTTCAGTTTGCCCACTTCGGTGAAAACAGTGAAACATCGGAACGACCTGAAGGTAAGCCTCGTTCATGTCCGCAAAATCGCGTTGCAGATGCGCCATGTAGACGTTCATTTTGACGACGTGTTCGAGATCGGAGTTGGAGGCTCTGAGGATAGTGTGGATGTTGTCCAACGCGACTAGCTAGTGGTGAAGTGGTAAAGATGTCAGTACTAGTGGGTCACCTTAACGTCAATTGTGATGAAGACATACTGTTTGCGCTTTTACGCCTCCTGGAACGACTTTGTGGTTGCGATCGCAGCCGATGCTTCCGGAGACGTAGACTTTGCCGTCAGAGATGCATGCATGCGCTACGGTATATGTGATCAACAATGAACATCAACTTCCAGTGAGGCCTGAGGTTCAAAACATTGTCGTGGAAGCTTTGCTTACCGAACACAGGAAGACAGGGAATAGCATCTGGGCTGATGATTGTTTGTTTGACCATGTTCTGATTCTGCCTCAGGGTTGGGAGATGGGAAGAGTCAGGAGACAACAGTACTCGTAGTTTCAACGTTGACGCGGGGATGAACGATTAATAGTATTTGTATGTCATCATATGTGTGGTACAATTCTCCGCGAAACTGCCCATGAATACCATACAAAACGAATGTCAGAAACAACCGTTCAGTCGTAAATAACAAGACAGTCGTCCTCATCCTCGTCAAACTCTTCACCTTCGTCAACTCCGACATCTTCATCTCCATCCTCAGTACAACAATCACACCTTCCTCCCCCAACAACCTCCATGAACCTCCCAAACGTCATCCTCGGACTTACCGCCTTCAACTTCCTATACCCCCTCAACAACACCCTTTCTTCATCCGAAGCGACACCACTCCTCACCTTTACCGCAAGCCTCTCCATCTCGAACAACACCCCAGACCACCTGAACCCCTCTCTCAGCGGCTCGACCCACTCATGCACGATGTCTTCGTATTCCTTATGCACCCCTGCGAAATATTTTTGCCATGAGGAGTCGGAGGAGATGAGGAATTGGGCTTTGGATTGGGCGATTTTGTGGACGGGGTGGAGAGGAGACCATGGGAGGAGGAGGGTGTTGTAGGAGGAGGTGGTGGGGTTGTGCGTGGTGATGTGGAAGATGAGGAGGAGGAGGAAGGATTCGAGGTCGTGTGGGTATCTGTGCATGGGGGTGTTGTGTGGGGAGAGTAAGGAGCAGGAGGTGAAGAAGGGTGTGTTGATGATGGTATGTAGCGAGATGTTATTGAGTAGGGAGTTCCTCTCGTTCGAGAGTTGGGCAAAGTCGGATGCGATGTCGTCTTTGTGGCGCGCGTACTCGAAGTTGCACAGAACGCCGACGACGCTCGTGTCGTCCTTGGATCTGGAGTACCACATGACACTTTGGTGGTTGATATTCCGATGTAGAACACCGGTGAATCTCCAGACCCAATGGTGTCCTGAAAATCACAATACATACTCATCAGTCGACTGCATATCCTAATCAACGAGCCCAACAAATGCAAAACGTACCTTTCATGGTATCCACAAAAACTTTCTTAAACATCTCACCCGTCTTCACTTCCTCCAACGGTCGATACTCTTCCATCACAACCGATCGAAACACGCCAACCGATCCTCCCCCTTCCATGAACGCTCTCGGAAGCCCAGCAGCAGCGCCAGACCCCTTCACAAAACACACAATTTTGACAACATGCCTCAAAGCCTCGGGTCTCTTCTCTCTCAGTACCCGTCGGATGGTCACGAGTGTGTCTGTTTCTCCATGAGAGGTGGTAGAAGTGAACGTGTACTTCCACACCAAGGGAATCGCATTGGACCGGTTGAATGTGCGAACGGGGACGACGGTCGTGACGGTGTCTGGGTCGGACGAGCGGGTGACGGTGAGCTGACGGTGGTGGTTGATTACAACCTCGAACCTCCAAGGCCCTCTCAATCTCTTTTTCCCGTCATACGCTTCTGGGATCTTGACTTTCGAACCCGCGAACCCTGGACTCTCTACATGAGCGCCGTCACCATCACAACCTTGACGCAAGTGAAGGAACGGTGAGAACCCCAGCGCGGTGCTGTGCGCGTTGGAGATAGATGCGACGACGAGGATGAATAAGTCTGGCTGTTCCGTGAAGTCGAAACTCTGGGATTTGAGGATTCCATGGTGATCACCGTAGTAGAGAGTGACGGTGGTGTCCTGGACGAGGATACCTGTAGCGTACTGTCGGATGCTGGTGGACAGCATACAGTCTATCGCCTTAGCTAGGTACGAGTCTTGCTCGGAAAGAGAGGACAGAGAGGTGCCAGTGGTTTGCGTACTATCGCATATGGAGATGCCGTTGAAGTCGGAGGAGAGTACGTTTACGCGCGTTCGAGCCTCTGATGTGGAGGGTGGGGCGGGGGACGATTTGTCGTAACAGAATACAGATGGGGGCTCATATGAGAGCCTCGGACGGTCCTGGATCCGAGAAAATGCGGTTAAGTCAATCGCTCAGAGGGACATTGGGCTTGGGTCAATGCATACCTCGACTAACGACCCAAAGCTGACATGAATGTTCTTCCTCACATCTATACTTAACGGCCCAGTCTTCGTCACATGCACAAAGCACCCAAGCAAAGCCCTGCTTCCGTTCCTCGGCCCAAACATCACATCAGACCCCTCTTCGCAACAGTGAAACTCCCCACCCGGAAGCCTATCCTCAGCCAATGCAAGCTGCGAACGTAGAGAAGTGAGGATATCACAGAGCGCGGTGCGAGCCGACCTATGGGATTGAGATTGGACGTAGTTATTGAGAAGGTGCCGTAAGATGGTGATGCGAGGAGTAAGAGGCGACTCTGTGTCGATCCGGAGCATGCTGCGGTTGAATCCGTAGACATGGTGGATGAAGACTTCGATGGGGAGGTCAGGTTGGGTGTGGGTGTAGGGTGGGGTATGTGCTCTAGAGGAGGTCCGGGACGTCGACGCCGATGTGTGTGGCGGAGAACAGTTGTGATGGAGAGAATCGCATGAGCTACTCGGGGTCGTTGAGAGCGGGGAAAGGACAGGCCGCGAGCCACTGGCCGCGGGATACGAGGCATTGTGGCTCCAAGAGGTGGTTGGGTGCATGTCGGGAATGGCACTCGTGGGTCAACGATATCGCTAGCGGGTGGTGAACGGGGTCAGGTAATGGGGTGTTTTTAACCAACAAGTGGTCATAACACGCGAGCTGGCCAACACTCGAAGAGCACACGTGACCGCGTCAATTGGAACAATGCCCTCTTTGTGCGCGTTGTTTGGTCCTGGCGTTGCTATGTGGACCCACAACACAAAAGCGCCTGGGGTAACATTGGGTTAGTACTTCCTGCTGGCAAGTTGCAAGGAGCCGTTGTTTCGAATACGTACTCGAGGCGACAAGCGGTGGGGTCAAAGTAGCGCGTCGTTGCCCCGCAGCGTTGCTAAAGCGGGAGTGCGTGCATTGGATTGGACCTGACGAGCAGGATTTAATTCACTCAATGGGAGGACCCACATACAACCGCGCAAGAACAACACCTATAGGATCTGTAGCGAAGTCATGAGACATTCTTAGAGCTATGAGCACTAACAAGGAGACAAATGTTGTACGTACTGAGCAGCCTTGCGACGGCCTCAAGCGTTGTTTTCACTTTGATATCACGGTACCTTTCGACCATAGGGCATCATTCGTTACGAACGACGCTACTTAGACAACATGTTTGATAGGCTGCAGGTCTTCAATGACACCACGATGAAGAAAATCATCTTTTTGTTGCCAGCAAACCCGGGCGCCTCCTGAATGATGCATGTTTCTTTAGCAGTATAAACACCTCAGGGGTACAATGTGAACGGCATCATAGACGGAGGGAGTGTGGTCGCTAGGCGTTCTCTCGATGTG